TTACCCAAAACCACCCTCGACACATTTTTTTCCCCAGCAGGCATTGGGGGCTCGACCCAGAATTCCAATGGGCACCGGGGACTGGGACCTAGGGATAGCTGCCCACAGTGCACCGCTTCCAATGTCAACGCTTGCCCCGTTAGTGTGGACTCACAAAGTCAAATTACTGTTCTTAGTGTGGATACACACGTTCGACTTTGTAATATTGGTTCCACTAATTCGATTTAAGTAAAATCGAACTACTCTCGTAGTGTAGACGTACCCTAAGAGAGAAAATGGTGAGCCTCCTTTAAGTTAGTGACTGTGGTGTGTGTCCAGATTCGATTTGCAAATATTTTGAAAGTGCATGTTTTCTCATGCTTATATTCTTGTTTATTTATCTGTGTGTTTGCCCAAATCTCTGCACAGGCCTGGAAATCAGAGGCATTGGATTCTGTATGTTGAATAGCTGTATCTTGGGGAGTAAATAACATAACTCAATTTGTAATGTATACAACTCTTAATGCCCATAGGAATTACTTCATATCCAAAACTAGCAATAAAATGACAGAAATGATAACACAAAATCAATGTTACTTTAGCAGACAATAGGATCAATGAAATCATGGTAGGATAAGGATAATCTGGACAGCCAGAAAAGTGACATTACTAAATTGGTCCTAAATCTAACCATCATTTGATATTGTCAGATACTTGAATTGCTTGCTGTCAAGGCTGGATCCCCACTTTGAACTTTAGGGTACAAATGTAGGGGCCTGCATGAAAACTTCTAAGCTTAACTACCAGCTTAGCTCTGGTTCCGCTGCCACCATTTCAATTTTTCCCTCCCTGGGAAGCCTTGAAAAACCTTCACCAATTCCCTGGTGGATGTCCAGCACAGGTACTCCATAGGGAAGGGATACAGTGATCAGATAAAATGGATTGGTAAAGGATTTCAAGGATGAGTTCTCTAAAGGAGCAGAAACAGGGGGTTGGGGCTCCTATGACTAGTATGGCAGGAAGTCAACCCCCTGCTCCTTTATAGCTCTCCCCCACTTAACCCTCATTTGAGGGTGGGAGGAGGTGGCAAGGTCCCAGCAGTGGGTTGGCTGAGGGAGGGCTGACAGCCTATACCCTATAACTGGGGTATATAAAAAACAGTGATACTCAGACTGAGGCTCGCAATGTGTCTCTTGCGGCTCTTTGCAACACATGATAATTAAAACACTGTCCAATTTAATTATTAACCAGTCTAAGTTATTAACCAATCAGGATGCTTTTACAATTGTAGTTGATAAAATAATAATACTTGATCAGTCATTTTGCTGAGAGAATAATTATATATATATATAAAAAGAGAGAGAGAGAGATGTAAATAAAACAATGGATTCCCACTACGGTGGCTCTTTTGGGTAATGTTGATCCTGATTTGGCTCCTGAGCCACTAAGGTCTTCAATGATGTAAATGATTATGCAATTTAGAAATAATGTTGAGGCCTAATTAAACCACGTCCAGTGTCTCCTGTCCTTCTTCTGGCATAGCCAGAAAACAATCAATGTACTCACAATTAGCTTTGATCTCTAGTGGTAAAAGGAATTTCCTCATGTGTCTGTGAATGTGATGAGCTGAGAGTTTTGCACCCCCTTATAGTAGCTCCATCTATGTTGCATTTTCCTAGTTTGTTTAGTATCATTATCTCTATTTGAGAGATGGCGAAAGCGAAGTGAAATGGCTTCATCCAAGGCCACAAAGCATGGTGGCTTTATTATTATCATCAAAACAAGTCTTGTTTATCATCAAAAATTAATTGTGTTTAGCCTAGAACTTCAGAATTGCTGTACTCATAGTTAGTACTCTTCAAATTAATCTTGCATGTTGATATTTATATGAGGGAAAAGGTGTATCTTCCTTTTAGATTCCAGGTTCTGCAAATTTTCACTCATGTGAGTAGCCTGGATTACTCATATGAGTAAGATGTATGCATGTGAATAAGGGTTAGAAGCCTATCACTTTTATTTTGGCTGCAAAATTGGAGATCAGGACAAGAGGTGGGCCCCACACATATGCTGCAACACTTGTGCAACAAATCTTCGCCAGTGGTTGAACAGGAAAAGGAAATCTATGCCTTTTGCAGTGCCAATGATTTGGAGAGAGCCAACTGATCATACCAGCAATTGTTACTTCTGCATGGTGCCTCCAGTTGGGAAAGGTGTGTCAAAGAAGAAAAAGTGGACTGTGCATTATCCAAACGTTCCATCAGCTATACGCCCAGTACCCCATGGAGAAGGACTGCTGGTTCCTGATGCACCAGAATCATTCTCACTTGAGTCAGACGAGGAAGAGGATGAAACTTCTGGTCCTGAGCCATCAATGTCACAGGACCCACATTTTCTCCCATCCTCCTCTTCTGAACCACACCTCATAACACAAGGTGAACTGAATGACCTTGTCAGGGATTTGGAACTACCCAAGAGTAAGGCAGAGCTGTTGGGCTCCAGACTACAGCAGTGGAATCTCCTGGCAGGTGATGTTAGGGTTTCCATGTTTCGTGACCGTCAAAAGGATCTTGTCCCATTCTTCTTCATGGAAGGTGACCTTGTAGCCTGCAACAACATCGATGGTGTGATGGCAGCCCTCAACATCGTTCACGATCCAGATGAGTGGAGACTGTTCATTGATTCATCGAAGATGAGTTTTGCCATCAATTCCAGTTGGTCATGCAGTTCACCTTGTGTTATGAGGTGTGGTTCAGAAGAGAAGGATGGGAGAAAATGTGGGTCCTATGACATTTATGGCTCAGGACCAGAAGTTTCATCCTCTTCCTCGTCTGACTCAAGTGAGAATGATTCTGGTGCATCAGGAACCAGCAGTCCTTCTCCATGGGGTACTGGGCGTATAGCTGATGGAACGTTTGGATAATGCACAGTCCACTTTTTCTTCTTGGACACACCTTTCCCAACTGGAGGCACCATGCAGAAGTAACAATTGCTGGTATGATAAGTTGGCTCTCTCCAAATCATTGGCACTGCAAAAGCCATAGATTTCCTTTTCCTGTTCAACCACTGGCGAAGATTTGTTGCACAAGTGTTGCAGCATATGTGTGGGGCCCACCTCTTGTCCTGATCTCCAATTTTGCAGCCAAAATAAAAGTGATAGGCT